TGAACACACAGTCCGTCTCCGCACACAGTCCCGGCCAAACACCTCAAAACCCCACCCTTTTTACTCCTCAATAGCATCCAGCCTAAGCTGAGCTTAAGTTTCCTAGTCTACGGCAAGGAAGCTCATTTCTAGGTGTCTGAGAGCGTTCATGCAGCTTAGCAAGTCTTCCTGATACTCTTTGTCAGCTCTTCAGACCAAGGAATTATAATGCAATTTTGCAAAACGTGGCTTGAACATTATCAGACGTCGTTCACTTGTAACTGAGGTCTAACACGCCGAGAAGCTGGGGAGAAGTTAATTCTGCTATTGCAAGATGTTATTAGAAACTTACGACAAACATTTTGAACTATTTTACCTTTAACTTGCAGAATACGTCTAAAATATACACTACTATTAATAAGAATAGGCCCAGGAATCTTCCATAAAAAATGTCTGCCACGGTAATAACAGCTCTGCAGTACCAGCATTCAAGCAGACCATGACCCAGTCGACTCTGTCATCCTCTTAAATACAGAGGGAGATTTTCCAAGCCTAAAATGGCAAATGAACTATTCTAAAATAAAAACAATAAAAGTAAGTTTCTTTACTTTTAGCACAACACAAACTTTACAAAGTCAATCTTATCCTGTCCATCTGCAGCTGACCTCAGCAACCGGGCACAGTGGGGAGCTGAAGAGCCTCTTTTCACCGTGTTTAGCTCGTGGTGTCTGAGGCACGTCAGCTCTCCTGACGTAAAGGGAAATGGCACTGACATCGTCCTCGAAAATTTGTATTCCAGCTACATTCACCTGATTGTGAAACAGGAGTGCCCGGTCAGATGAAGCTCCTTTATTTGCTCATTTCTTCACAACATAGGAGTCATGAGGAAGAGTCATCTTTTGCTAGGAATTGCACCTTTTAAATATTTCTACAGCAAGAGAAAAAGGTTTATGGGAAGCTGAAGTACCTTCTTCTTATGTATCTTTTGGTTTCCTATGATGCAGCCGGCAAGGAAAAACATCCAGTACAAAGGAAAAGAGTGTTTGCAGTAGCTGCAAAGGGGCAATAAGCTCATTAATTTATTTAACATACCCAGAAAATAGAAAGGACGCAGCACATAATTATAGCTGCAGTCTGTGAAAATGATATCCCAGAGTTATCCAGGCCACCCCGACACACGACAGGAACAACATACGGACAATTTAGAAGCCCGAAACCACAGAGGGTCCACAGCGTTTGGAAACTATGTTGCAGTGCAGTTTGTATGAAAATTGATGCACTGTAGTTAACAGATGAAAAAGGAAACAGAAATGTGTTTTGTTTTGTTTTGTTTTGCTTTTTACACTGAGAAACTGAGGAGGTCCAACCTGCATTTCAAAGGATATTGACTGCACCAGTGGTTGTCCCTCAGGGCCTAGGCCTATGCCTTATGGAAGGAAATCGCAGTGAGAGAAGGTGAATACCATCGTAGGAGTATGCAAGGACTCTCTCCTGGCTGGAAAACGGTTCCTGCCTCCCAGATTGCCTGAGAGTACTGCAAAGGCCAGAAGGAACCGAGCAACATGCAATGCGTTCCAGCTCCACGGCTGGAAAACAACAAATGCATCTATACATTAAGACTGCTATTAACTCTATGATTAATGATCCTTTAATGCCTTTATAATTTATTTATACATTTAAATTAGTGCTGGTAACTGAAGCACCTGGGTGCCTTACATTATTAAAACAATCATTCATAAAAGTAAACTAGCAGCCTTTTGCTTTCAAGCTCTGCAGAATTCCCCGAATGCAGGCAAAATGCGACTATTAAACCCAACAATTACCATGGTCTATCAGCTAAAAAAGTTTGCTGTAAAAGCAGGCCTTGCCTTTAAGCTCTGCTGTCTGGAGACAGCTGAGACCTTTCCTTGGAGCCTCTGACTGATTGCACACACAACAGCAGACAAGGATCCTGTCCCCATTGGGGCTGATTTACCTTAATAAAACTAGCTGATACCTGGGGTGCTTCAGGCAGTGCTTCGCAAGCTGCTCATTGTTCCTAGCCCAGGGGCAACAACCTCTGCAAAGGAGGCAAGAAGGCTACCGCAGATGCTACCAGCTTCAGATGTCTTGTTTTTATCTGGTGCGGTTTCACTCAGACCCCTTGAAGATACCTTGAAGCTGTGAGTGTTCGAGTCGGTCTCAACTCTAGCAGGAGGTGAGGCATGTACAGAGAAAAAGAGCATCTCTCCAAATTAATCTGGGCAGGGGTGGGAATAACTGAATGTGAATGTAGCCAGAGATAGAAATACTTTGCGATAAGAAAAGATAAGAAAATCTTTGCAGGACTTGACCTGAAGCTTCTAGATGACCCTTAACCAATGTTTGAGATTAAGGGAGCAGGACTTTTCAGCATCCAGACCAGTAATTCTATTTCTGTTCTTTGGTTTTTGGTGCCTAATACAAGGAAAATACGTTTTTTGCAAGCATCCCCCAAGGGAGCAGTTGGAATAAGGGATCCTCTCTTTGCAGGAAACTAAAGCAAAACTGGTGACGTGCAGCAGTTGCTGCTGGTAAAACTGGGCTGCCGTGACACAGGCCTGCTGCCACCCTGCCCAGCTGTGGAGTGCTCTGCTAAGTCCAGCATCTACTTGAATCCAAACCCATGTCCCTCTTAACTCCCCTCGCATGGTGGCACAGCGCACACCACCCCATCTGTGTGCACAGGAACCAAAAATCCCAGGCACCTGCCAAACCAAAAGGGGGCTTCCGAGAAGACCCAGCAACCTTTTTCAAAAAGAGAAGGCAGAAGTTTACGTAAAGCCCTGTCATATTCCTTTCCTAAATAGCACGGCCAAGGAGGTATTTTCTGACCGTGCTGTTGTCTGTTCTTCAAGAGGCTTCAGCTCTCGGGTCTGCAGTAAGCAGGCTGCGTACCAGCCTAGGGGGCCCAGCCTTACCACTATGAGAAAAGCTAAAGGTAATGCTGTATTTTAACTGTAGCCTTACCAAAAAGTATATATGTATTTCCATCCGTAGGTACAAAATTAATTTCCTCATAGATTCCTGCAGCCTATCAGGAATTAACTGTGAAGCCTTTAACTGGTTGTTTCGGCCATCAGTCATGAGTTTTTACCTTGGTATACATTCCTCCACGAATACACAGTCATTTGGTGTAAGAACTGATCATTTCATTTTAAGCACTTAGTATAACAAGGAAAACTTCAAAACATTAAAAATGCATCAGTTTACTACCTGTTTAGCACAGGTATCTCTGCTAAAATGTAATTTTAGGAATATTTTGGTAATAAATAACTACGGCATTACTATAACCCAAGGATACTTCCCAAAAGGACAAGATAACAGATCAACACTGATTTGAGTCTGAAAATACATTTTTCCCTGCAGATAAGTTTAAAATTCATCAACTGGAGAAACTTGCCACTGAAATATTCCTGTCATCAGAGATACTGCTGAAAGAGACTTCCAAAACTGCCCGAGAGAGAAATTTTAAGCATCGCTGAAGGCAAAAATGACACACTTCTGACTTAGCTCCATGCCACTTCTCTTTTGAGGGTCTCCCATTTATGCCCCTAAAGCTACAGTATATGCTGATATGCGGCAACGGCATTTTTAGAAACAGTCCTTCCTACAACTAGTGACGAGGATTTTGTCTCTAAACATGGGCCAGATTAAAAAGACAGTGGTATCTCATTCTATTTGCACCTTACCCTGAGAGGATTTTCATTAAGGTAAGGAGGTTCTCCTTCCACCATTTCTATTGCCATGATCCCGAGTGACCAGATGTCAACTTTGGGGCCGTACGCTTTTCTCGTCACCACTTCTGGTGCCATCCAGTAAGGAGTCCCCACCATTGTGCTCCGTTTACTCTGTTCAGGCGTGATCTGAGCGCAGAACCCAAAATCAGCTGCGGAGAAAACAAGCGTCATCGAAGCCAGCTTGAAGTATGAAACCAAGCAATAGCAACCCCTCACTTTATGCCCAAGAGCGCAGTGTGGAATCTAACTGGAAAAGCGGCCACACTCTCTTTAGTTGATGGTGTAAACAAGTAAATATTAAAATAGCCACTTAAAAAAAAATAAAAAGTTTCATGCAGCAAATGCTTCACTTGAAGCTTTAAATCGTTAACTGTGGTCTCCGGGAGAGACACAAGCAAGTAAAAGCCAGTCTTTATAGCTTTTTCTTTTCTCTACCTCTTCGTGTACTGGAATTGCACGCTTGGCTTGCAGCAGTGGTCAGGGCACTATGACACGCACCACTTTTGGGTACTGGCAGTCAGTGAGAAGCAGCCCCACAGCCCGTCCTGTGAACACTGCTGCCTGCCCAAGGATACCTACTCAATTTGACAGATCCATCCATCCCGAGAAGGATGTTGTCGCTCTTGATGTCTCTGTGGATCACTTGGTTTGAATGCAGGAAATCCAGCGCTTGCAGGCACTGATACAGAAAAAAGGAACACACCGGTAAAAAATTAACGGCCTGATGTCATCACACGAGAAGGGATGTCTCTAAAAGATTTAATTTCTAGATGAATTGTGAGTAAAGGCAAAAACTGTGCTGTCAAGAGGAATAGCTCACCGCTGCAACACTATTAGAATAATAACTTTCTAAATGAAGGCGCATTAGCTTTTGAATGAGAAATGTCAATTATTGTTACAGACTATCCTCTGAAAGCACAGACAGAATGACTGCAGCTACAATGAATTTGCTACCTCTGTCCATATGACAAACTACTATTTGCCAAAAAAGAAGAAAACTCGCTTCCTTCATTATGAAGTGGATCACTTTTGGGTGGAAGGTTTATGACAAAGACTTTATTGTTAGGCTCTAGAGTAAATTTGGAAATAGCATTTTAGTCATTTTTCAGAAGCAAACGACATTTTGGGTGGAATGCTATCCTTTTAAGCAGAAGACTGTGACAAATGAACCTCTATTTTTCGTTGCTATTATTTTAAAATTCTGCTACAAGCATGCTTGCTTTTACAGGCAAGGAATAACATACAGACATGCCCCAAGCAAATGTTTAAAGAGGCAAATTTGAGCATAATAAAACTCAAAGAAAAGAGCAAGTATAATAGAGTACACTAACAGAGCACAGTAAGTGCAGTGATACAGGCAGGCAATTTGTATTAAAAAAGCAACACAGAAATGAAGATCTGAATATGAAATCACTCATACTCTTGCCACCTGTTTACCAGTCCTATACTATCTGTGTGATCACAAGCACACGCAGCATCGCTTACCTCCCTGCAGACAGCTGCTATCTGTCCTTCGTCCATACAGGTCTCTGTAACAACGTCAGTTAAAGAGCCTCCTGCCAAGTATTCCATAACTACCCAAAGTTCATCGCCCACCAGGTAGCTGGAACAAGAAAACAGCGACAGAGACGAAAGTGCAGGGCTAAGTTATCTTGTGACAAAGACCACGCTTGATTTTTGCTTTCTGATCATTTTTAAATGAAGACAGCGTAAAGCGAACAGACGTGCCTTCTAGGCTGTACAGTCCTTAGAAAGAATCTGGGCAGTGCAAACGAGACAGGCGTTATGAGTGAAACACAGAGATGTTATGTGGCAAGCAAGTGAAAAACGCAGTTTAGCAAAGGCAAAGATAAATGTTCATAGCACATCATCTCATTCAGCATCTTAACATACACAGAAATGCCACGATTAACTCCAGGAACATGAGGACAAAGCTTTCATAACTGTCCAGGGCGGGAAGGGTGGGCACCACTGAGGGCAGAAATTGGTCAACAGTTTGAAAAATCTTACACGAAGTGCATTCACAGAAACAAAAAACAATTTAAAAACTGAAAAATTATTTGTGTCTGGAAACAAGAACCCTGTCCTCCTGGCATCCACAGCAGTGGAAAATAATGGGAATATTCCAAGGGAAATAATTTCTATGAGGATTTATCAGCATTTATCATAATACACAGAAAACATGTCCAACTAAAAAATTTTGGACCTAGCGGAGTCACAAGCAGTTGTTAGTAAGATATGGCCGATCCAGATTTTCAAAAACAGTCTTTGAACTGCACACGCAAGAAAAATTAATGCAGATGAAGAGCTATCTCCTCCAATATATGTATGTGCATGAATACATATATATGTATATACATGTATGCATATATCAAAAATAAACAGGTCATCTTTCTGCCAGAGACCAAAGGCTCACGATCCTCCTGAACCTTTGGCCTGCAGTGTGTAAATTAACTTTCAAATGATAACACCAGCACTACTTACCTGTCTAAATAGTTAACAATATTGGGGTTCTTATTTTCCCTCATGACCAGGATTTCATTAATAATTAATTCCTTTTTGGGCTGTTGTTGGAGATTCATTTGCTTTATGGCCACCTAGAATGACATTGAAAATTACTACCTCGAACAGCCTGAACCGCCCCAGATCAGCACGAACACGGAGTAAGGGTTTTGGGAAGGACGTATCAGAGCTGTGCCAGACTGCTGCGCTTCTAGGCATCAGAGCTCAGTAACTGACATTACAACAACCTTATTTTTCTGTTTGTGTGGGTGCCAGTTACAGGATACAGGGCCATATACATCCTGCCTTGTAAAATACGTAAAAACGGTCTTTAAAATAATCAACCAGAAATCTCTAACAACGCTCTGCGTACCTACATTCTTCCAAAACGGCCTCAGTTTATTACCACAGTCGTTATTCAATCATGTTTTGCAAGCAGGAAATGATTTTGTTACCGTGAAAAAATATAAAACCGGCTGGTAACACATCAGCAATTACATGACTTTGATGACTATTTCAGCAGCTGCTCCTATTCTTGACTCGGTGACCTAACTGAAAGAAAAGGCGCACGCACATCAGGCACAAAAAGCTGGGCGACAGGGTTCGCAGTTACGTGCAGTCTTGGAACTTCCTAACTTTCTGCATTTTGATTTTGCAACTCTAATAACGTTCTTTTAACATAGTTTGTAGTTGCAATGATTTCCTGCGTTAACAAATGATCCATTCTGGGGTATTTTATGGGCACGGGTGAGGGTGCCCAGGGTGAGGGCAGGGTGTGGGGCTCGCAGGTCGAGAGCAGTTATGAAGCGTCCTCCTGCACAGAGCAGCGCCGGGGCTGGATGAGACCCTGCCGGCAAGACTCAGATATACTTGCGGACAGTCAGAAATGGTAAGTCAGAAATCTTAAGTTGCACACCCAAGCAGCAAAAGGCCTCTCTAACACATCAGCTTGTCTATTTGTTATTAACATGATTGTTTTTGCCCTGTAACATCGTACTCATCTCGCCTCTACCTCCTCCTGGCTCCTCAGCCCAGTCCCGGCCAGCCGTGGTCTCCTTCATCACCTCAGCGCCCATCCCTGGCCCCTGCAGCTCCTGCACAGGCAGTTATCTTCCCCAATAAATTCAACATTGTCCCCAATAGCCTCAGCATCCTTCCCATCCCGCAGCCTCCGAGGCACGCGGCCCCTTGGCCATCTAAAGCCCGCCCCTTGCTCCCTCCACGAACTTCCCCGCTGTCTAGTCCTGCTCTTGACGTGGCCCAAGAGAGACCGCCCCTGTGCTCTCATCTCTGCTGTCCCGCCAGAGTTTCGGGTAGGATTTGTGTATCGTTTTCAAAAACTCTGGCTTGAGAAAGGAGTGAATGTTAAGAAGCTGTGGTAAATCAACCATAACTGGGACTGTCAGAGGTAACACTGTTTTCCTTCAAGATTTGTTCCTCATCCCCAGGTGCCTGTTTCATTTCGACGGGGTATTGCGAGGGTTAGGCTGACATCACCGCGTAGCATCATGCGCTGTCCCTGACACCGGACCTCAATGCGCCTGTATCTTTTCAGAGAGATCTTTGCCCTTGTTCTGAGTCATCGCACTTTTCAGTGTCTGTGTCGATCCGCTTCAACAAGACTAAAGCACAAAATTACTTCCGAAACATGATTGTTCTCAACTAGTACTTATACTATACTTTGAAGATGAAACACACTATGGAAGAAAACGCTAAAAATAGTATTACTATCCTGAATCAGTGATTAAGATTAATTGGGCCTGAATGACGGCAGCCTCCATCAGCTAGTTGCTGCATTAGTATGCTCAGTAGCTGGGACAGAGGTGGTGCGTGCTTCCCTCCTTGCGCTCCTTGCAGCAATTCTTCGGAGGGATGAAGTCTGTCCAACAACAATCAACGTAACGCAGCCGCTCATTCCTCACACCAGTGAGGGAAACTGCGACAAGCCCTGGGTTTCTCCCGAGGCCTGTAGTTATGACAGTCTTTAGATTCGACAATTTGTATTGCTAATCAGCCTAGACACAGACAGTTTTAGTGCTGTGAATTTACAGAGTTAAATTATACTCAACAAACATGCTCTGTAAGAGCATAACTTTATCCGTACTGGGGAACAGCAGATACGACAATTTCTAAACCAATACCTTTACACTGGCAATAACAATTATATAGTCTTTATCCGGCCTGAAAGCTTGCTGAGATTTATTTACAGATCTCTCTCCACTAAAACACACATTCAGGGACGACATCACGGGGCAGCGGGCTGTGGAGGGCACAGGCCCGTTCTGGGGAAAGCGTAGGTCGAAGAAATGCTGCTCTTACAATTGGCCATAAAAGAAAGCCCGCTGCCACCGCTGGCGTTCGGCGGCTGAGGCACAGAGCCGCGTTGCCCTTAGCGAGCTTTCACCGGAAAGCCGAAGGTAGCAGATGATGCGTTTTGCAGGCTGCTGCTAGCCCATGCTTAGCAAGAGCTGCCTTTGCGCTAAACATCTGCTGGCGACCCAGGATCCCGTCCACGGCTAGAGCGGGGGGATTTTGTATTCCGTGTGAATACAAAATCTGAGTGCAAAACGTGCAGGGCTGCTGGCACTTACCTCCTGTCCGGTGGCGATGTCTATTGCTGTATATACTGTACCCGATGCCCTAGAAAAAAAAAACAGCAGCCAAGAAATGAGAAGCAGCCTAGTACCTTTGGGCGAAAGCCTAGTCTCTGCTGTCCCTGGGCTTCTGAGGGCGCTCGGGGGCGCAGCCCGTCCCCAGCCAGCCGCGCACGAGGTCCCCGGCCCTCCGCCGCCCGCAGAGCCCAAGAGAAAACCCTCATGCCCAATGCAGACAGAGAGGGCTCACGCAGATCCCACGCGTGCGCCCGAAATTATTCTAGTTCCAAACTTAGAGCAAGGGGTGAGGAAGTTGTTTTTACCTTTTTTTTGTCCATAAAAACCTGGAAAATGTTTTTTTTTTTCCTTTTCTTCAGTTTTGCTTGTTTTTTTTCTCTCTCCAGGAAATGCAACATGTAGCCTGGCCAACCTTAGCCGAACCTTCTCAGACCTCTTATTTGGACTAGGCAAAAATTAGCCAACATCCTACAGCCATTCTGGGAATCCCAAATACACATAACAGGCCTTTGAAGGAAGAAGCTAGACATGGCCTTCTCCAGAGTGCAGTTCTCCAACTATCCTGACAGGTCACACGTTAAGGCATCCTATGATGTTTCACGACAAAACCGAGACTGACTCAAAACAAACAAGAAGCCTCGGGTTCCTCCGCGTGGCAAGAGCCGCTCGGCAGCAGCTTGCTTTCGGTGCCTCGGACGTGCGAAGGGCTCCTCAGGGCATCTGTGCTTGCTTTCTGTGGCAGCTGGGGGCTGCATGGGAGGGCCCCCCCAAAAAAAAAAAAAAAAAAAAACCACACAAGGAGGTTTCGCCTGCCGCCCGCCGCTCTTTGGAAGAGGTTTCTTCCCTGCAGTGCTGCAAAGGGCTGGAAAGGCAACGCCCAGCGGAAATCCCTTCGGCTTTAAAAGTAAGGGACCCCCGTAGGCTTGTTAACCTGATTGGGGTTTTTCTTGCTGAAGAAAACCACAGGTTTATGCTGCCATCATCTAAGGCGCGGGAATAATGAGCCCCTGGGAAACAGAGAGCCGGGGCGGGAATTGGGGAAAGCAGGAACGCTCATCTAGCAAGCGCTCCACGGAGCGAAAATACCAACATCGGTTCGTTCGCTCAGTTTTACACGATCACCCCGTTTGTTTCTGTTTACCTGCAGGCTGAAATATTTCCACAGCATTTTAATTCAACAGGCACCAGAGACCGTGTGCCTGTGCGGAGAACAATGTTATCATTGGGCACGCTATGTATTCTTTTAATATAAATGCAAATGCATTTTCCTATGACTAATTGTTGAGATTAATCCAATTTGCTCTCATAAAAAGCCAACATCATTTATTCAGAGTCTCTAACATGTGCTGTACCTCCTGAGCAAAGTCCTGTCAGGGTTTATTTAAAAACAGCTACTTAAATTAGGACGCTTTTCGGTATGCTCTGGGCCATCTGTGAAGAGTTTAGATAAAGGTGAGCAATTTAAGTAAAGCTGCGAATTAATTGCAGGGGCTCTGTGATTCTGCAGTAGGGACTTTTATTTCTAAGCAGCTATAATTTCTGATCTGTATCTAACTTCTAAACTCTTCTGTAATATCTTGGTTTTAACGCAGTTAGGCAAGTACCAGAGCCTGCAATTAGATCTGTGTCACCGTGATACAGTGCAGTTCAAGTTAAAAAAAAAAAAAAAAAGGCTGAACCCAGGCTGCTCTTGTCTCCATACTGATTTATCTTTCTAGCAGGAGCTAAGCACTGCTTGAGCCAGCACAGGCTCTTTATCAAGCGCTAGTTAACTAAGTTTCCTCCAGGGTCAGCAGCACTTTCGGTCCTAAACTGGAGCCAAATTACAAACAAGAGACTCAGCACTCAGGCTGACCTGTTCTTCGGCCCCGACCCGCTGACTCCTGGTCGCTGCTAAGTAGCCGTGTAACCATCACACTGTTTATTAACTTCACCCACCGGATGGAGCAATGAGGTGTCACTGCCTGGACAATTCGCTTTCCGTGAGTATAAAGTCACTCTCTAACTTCCCTTCTCTTAGCAGCCTCGACTCCGGTCCACCTTCCCGTCGGGCGCTAGCCCCAAAAAAAAAAACCCGCGGCTGGACGCTGAGCTATGTGCATGGACCTGGGACATCTTGACAGTCAAACAAGACTTCCAGGGCAGCTGCAAAATTAAGCTGCTGCCCTAGCCACACGTCGGAAAAAAATGAAGCGGTTGTTTGTACACGCTTTTTTCCCTTAAGCGCCAGACTGTGCAGCAGTTTGTTAGACTTCCTACTTTTTAGCAGCGATGCGATAGAAAAGTCCCCCCCCCCCAAGCACCACGTAGGGGTAGCGTGGACCGTTTCTCATGGCAATTTGAACCCTTCAGGCCATGCAAGCGGGCAGGATTTCTCAGCAGAGCTGGTTCTCTCTGGAGGCTGAGAAAGGCCCTGCACATCGCGCTGCTGAGCACCTACGAAACCCAGCCAGAACCAAGTCTTGTACTGGTTTTCTGTCCGTGAAATCACAAAGCTTAGGGCCAAGGACTCTCCTGAGGAACTCTCTGCCGTTCTTAGCAGGTGATTTGACAGCCAACAGCGGCCTCTACGACGTGCCTTTTGCAGTCCTCCTAGCACAGACTACGAAGGCCTCCTGCAGTCACACTCACTCATAACATCTTCTCATAAGGGGTAAATTAGGGCTCCTAAATCTCACATTTCCCAGATTGGGAATTTTTGGAAACTTCTGAGCTTTGCAACCTTACTGCACTGCTTCATATCTCATACCAGTTAATGAGACACCAAAGATGTTTCTGACTTTTTTCAACCTTGTTCTGTGCAGGAATTCCCAGTAATTCTTATTCGATCAGCTCTTCTTTACCTATCCACATTTTGAAACCAAGTACTTGCCATGACCGGACGTTATTTTCTTATTAGCACTACTGAAGGGCAGTATTTGTTACCGAGGGTGACAGATATTAGACACATACTGGCACTATCTCTATCCCGGAGGTAAAGGTCTGGGCAGGGACTCTCTTTCGGCTCTATCCCCGCTCGCCACTTGCACCCGCCGCCCTGTGAAGTGCTAAAGGCAAAGAACACCCCTCGCGGGCAGCCTGTCACACGCGTAAGCAATTCTTCCATGCTCAGCTTAAGCAGCACACTCTGTGTAACTGCAAAGTCACAACCCCAGCAGTAATAAACGGCTTTTTTCTTCACTTCCTTGTTCCTAATACTGTCTAATATGCTTGAATACTGCTCAATCCATTTGTAATTCGAAAGAAGTTTAGCCCAAATCCATAATCTTTCTAACTCTGGAGGCCTGAATTAACTCTAATAACGCGTACCTTGTAACAATAACGGTTACTAGCACCTCCCTTGCCTCCTGGAGGGACGGCTGCTTTTGCAAGGATAATGCATTGTTCACGTTCCCAGTCCCGTCTCCCGTACGATTTCAGGATGATCATCAGTCCTGGCAAGCCAGTGCTGCGGTATGCAATTATCCGTGGCTGGAGTAAGGGTACTTAGAGTGGCATGCCGCATTAACGCTCATTCCTCTCCTCAGAGGACCGCACGGATGGCTCCGCCGGGCACAGGCCACGCTGCCTCTGCAGGGCGCTGCCGCCCCTCGGGGCCGCGGGAGTTTGCAGCAGGGCCACGCGCGGGAGCCCGCCGGGCTGCCCGTGGATACCCAAGCAAATCCCAGGGCCACCACCTGCTCACAGATAAAGCTGCCACCGCTATTTAGCCTCTTGTGTTTCTGCTGCCAGGGCGCCGTCTCAGAGGTCAAGAACCAGCTCTCCAACTCTGGACACTCGGCTGAGACCCCGCGAGGAGCGTGCGCCGAGGGAGGCCTCTGCAGCCATGACGGGCCTCCAGAGGGACATGTCTACAAGAGACAGCCAAGGCCAACCAGGCACAACGAGGTACCTCACACAGGCACCTCACTCAGGTGTCTGCGGTTAGAGGGAATAAATCAGGCCTGGTTAACTAAATTCACACCTACTTTCCTGAAACAGTCAGATTATAAGTTGTGGCGCGAGGGCATGCCTTTCTGCGAACTTCCACCCCGCCATCGGCGGGGAAGATGGGTCAACAAAGACCTGCAACAGACTAGCCTTCCCCACAGCATTAAACCGAGAGCCTAAGTGGCACCATTCCTCATGGACGTCTTGTGGGATGAACTGGTCTGAAGTACATTAGTGAGTGCACTTGCTGTTTTAGCATTTGAGAGGAAAAATTATTGTAATTTAGATAATGAAAGCCAGAGCAAGTCTCACACAAAACAAAGAGCTCTGCATGTATTTGAAACCCACGTGAAGGTGTCAAACAGTCTCACGTTCAACCGTTCACTGCAATAGCAACTCAGATCCAAAAGATATCCAATACGGCATCCCCCAAGATGATTTTTGTCCACCAGGATCTGACCCCCAGCTCTGTAAGCTGACCTGCTGCATTACAGTCATGAGCTGGTTACACTGGCACGCTCACTCCTCTGCAACAAGGGTACACCATCTTCAGGCTGTACTACAAGCTGAAGGAGATCAGCTGAGAGGCTCTTTTCAGCCAGATATTAGCCACTTGCCTTTCCATCAGTTAGTGGCGCTCATTTGCACAACCTCACTCCTAGGAGTGTCAACACAAAAGATCGTGAGGATGAGGGCCATTTCCTCATGGTGACAGCAATAACCTGCTTCACACACATTTATTCTGAATCTCACTTCTTCAGCTAACACCCATCTTTTGAGAGACTGGCACAGCTTTAAGCGTCCACTGATATATTACAAGAACCAAAGCTTGGGGCAGAAAGCAAGCTGGAGTCTGAGAAAGAGTTATACAATGAAGGGCACACAATCATCTTCCCATGAGTGCCCTATCAAATAAAATATTTCTACTATAAAGCCTACCAGAGAAAGAGCATGAGCGTGTCTGGCCGCCTTCAGTATATATCATTTGTAGGTCAGCAACATTTTACCCTGAGTTCAAATCTGACAAAACAGTTAAGGCAGAAAAATATCTACCAACGTCAGGGAACTGCATTCTGTCATACGCTGACAGCAGCGTGATGCCGGTCTTACACAAATGGAGCTGGCCTTCCTGGGATTACAACACAGCCTAGGAAGCTTTGACTGAGCAGGGAGGCTCGGATAATATTTAAAATGCAAGTCAAATATTTAATTTTGATGTTATTTCCCTTGTTTGTGCCTCCTCATATATAAAATATCAAAACAATCCTATTTATAGTAAGTAAGTAGGGTTTCAAAATGGAATAGCTTGGCAGATGAATTTGCAGCAAACTCCTAAAACTTGCAGGATCCCAGAGTGTTCTACTATCAGGCAGAAGATTTATTTTCTCATCGAGTACTTTGTGTTTCTAAACTATCTTCATTACTGATATTTGGTGAGGTTTTTTACTGCCTATGCTAGAAAACAGAGATAATTAACCTCTAGTTTACATTTCTAAACTATGCTGTTATAATCCTGATCACTGAAATAATTTTTTAGCAAAATATTTTAAAAAAAAATGTTATTCTGAGCTGTCATTTACCTGATACCTGTCAGGTTGCTCTCTCTTTTAGAAAAGCAGACGTTTCTTCTCCTTTCTTTAATGCAGCCATATTATTCTGAGACATATAAAAGTGATTTCTTCTATTAAAATAAGCATACAAGTACTGCATACGTGAGGCACCGTAGATCTTCCAAGTGCTAGTAATTTCGGCAGACAAGGCACTGACAGCAGCAAGGTGTCTTTTTATGATTCAATTCAGTTACTACAAAAATACTGATCAATACTGAGGGCACAGGAGGATCTAAACCCAGCATCTGAACTAACTTCCTAACTTCACACTTGCTACTAAACCAGCAAAGTATCCGCCCTGTGTTTTTTGCGTAAGTAACTATGTCTGGACTTACCCTTGGCCGATTTTTTCAAATCGAGTATATTTCTTCTTAGGGTCTCCCACGCTCACAATGCTTCCTGAAAGAAACAAAATTAAAGATGCTCACTTGAAAATGGAGATGCTACCAAAACCCGAGAAATCCCAGAAGCCACTCTGCCTGGGCTTCTGAGCCGCTTGTGTTCAGCCAGCTAATAAGACTGGCAGCTCCGTGTCTGCGGAGCTTGACAGGAAACCGAGAGCATGGAGAAACATTCACGGAAGACGGATATGAATGAAGAACAAATACCAATGCAAGGGTTTGTTGCTTAAACGTTAACAAGAGCTGGGCTAATGGAGCCTTCTTTTTTTCTTAGGAATAAATACTCTGTGATTTTACAAGGGGTTTAATACTTTCAAAGATTAAATGCAACCTGAGTTTTAGAATCAATTTTTATAAGCGGATGCGATTTAAAGAACAGGAAGAACATAAAGTGTTTCCAGGAAGGGATCTTGTCAACCTTCCAGTAGCTCACTAAAAGAATGGTTTTGCCTTTTTAAAGCAGAGCACCTGACATCATAATAATTAATTATGAGGTTTTAAGAACTATGACCCTTACAATTCACTACAAAGGCTAAGCTATGAAGAAGACCTTGCTTGTGTCATTTGAAGAACCACGCTGCTTGTCTTCAGCCTGCCTTGGATCAGCAAGCAGCAGGAGACTTGCAGTCTCCACGTGCCAATCCTCACAACCCAAAGGGACCTGTGATGGACAGCGAGAACAGCAATGCTCCTCAGGAACGACTGTTATTAAGATCACCGCACAAGTGAGATGTTGATAATCTCCTGCGCGCTCATGATGTGATGTGCAGGCCAGGCGAGATGGGGTGCTGCCATCTCCCGGTGGCTCGTCGCTGTAGCACCGGGGAAGGGACTGGCCCCTTCGGCACACAGGCCCCACACAAGGGCATGGGGCACGCCACGTCCCCAAGCGGATATGGAGCACATGGGCCACTCTGTGTTAAAATTAAAACATGCACAGCAGGGGGTTTCTTGCCCACTCAGAGGCGTAGGCAGTCTGAACGGGAAGGAAGGAAAGCAGTAAATAGGATAGTCCATAAGAAATGAAAAGAGCCAAAATCTGATAAGCTCAAACAAATCCAAAGGAATAATTAAAACATCATATTGTTTTTTCTGGTCCAGTAGCTTCCTAGGTAAAATACAAACAACGAGGGGAAGCAAAAGCTGATGGCTTAATGGTAATGCGAATCACTTCTGAAGATTCAGCTTAGGACGCACATCACTGAAACACTCAGGGAAGATTAGCTCAGGAGAAAAAACTTCCAACACATGACCACATATTTTGTTTGAGTGATCCAGCACTATTCCCACATCGCAAAGACTAACACACACCTATTTATTCACCTGTGCTTCCAAATCAAAACTAGGTGATGTGCCACTCGCTCTAAGTAGCAACAGACACATTTCTCTCTTCTGCGCAGGCCGTTTCTCCGGAGCAGAGGGCTTTCAGCATCCAAACGGGCATCTGACGGGATACCTAGCCAGGAATCCTGCCTGCCGGCACAGCAAGAAGAGGCATCGATACCATCTGGTACGCTCCCTGCTAAAAGAGTTTCGCTGGCTACGGCAAGGTCGCTAACGGGGAGCTGCAGGGGAAGAGGTTTCCTTTGCTCGGCAGGACCCGCTCCCCTCGCCCAGCACCCTGGGAACAGCAGCCAGTGCCTGCTGCTGCCAGGAGCGTAAGAGCTTGCTGGCCGAGGATGCCAACACAGTCTCAAGCAGCCTGAAGTGATCCTGCCCTGCTGTCCCGACCTGTGAGAATTATACTATCAGTATCTTGAGTCCAAGCCAAAGACAAAACATTTTCAGGAGCTGGTTAACTTTTTGTATTTTCCTCTAGTCAAGGGATGAGAACTAGCTAGCACTGAGATGCAAATGTCATAGTTGCTGCTCAGCGGCAAAACTCTTTAAAGACAGAACGATGCTGCCTGCCAAGGGAGGATTTGCCCCAGTCAGGGAGAATGGTGCTGAAATGACGCTGGTCTCAGTCCACTTGAGCTACAGCAAGAGCCACTGCTTTCTGCCCAGCTGTCTGCGCACGGCCCATTAGTGGCTCTGAAAAGGTGCTTCAAAGTGAAAAGCAAAATACAAATAGCACCTAGGCCACACAACTGTAAATGATGGGGGTTTTTCTTCGTAATTAAGACAGCAAACAGTGGAGCCTGAGCAATTTGGAAGGAATTCTGCATCAGTATTTCAATCACAACGTCTCAGTGCTGTTACCTGCTCCAGCCAAAAGGTTTCTTGCAAGAAGAACAAAGCTGTTACTTGTGCCGTAGGAGAAGGCAGTGAGGCCTGCCTACCCATTAACCACGTCTGCAGGGAATAACGCTGCTTCACACAGGGAGCAGGGAGCCCTCTCGCACCCAAGTACTTTGCTGCAAGCAAAGCTCCGCTGCCACAGGGATGCGCCGCTCCACGCACGACCTGTTGCTCTTTACCAACAAAGTCCCGATCCGCTCCCTTCTCCTGCAAAGAGGCACTGGCCGCTGACCCAGGCTGTACCTCCGTCCCCAGCTAGTAACCCACGCAGCAAGAGCTACGCTGCCTTTTGCGCCTGCGCAGGGTCAGCGCCCACGGCAATGCTTTGCAGCCTGACTGGCACCAGAGCGGCTGAACCAACGCTGAACGCTGCTCAGCACGAGGCAGAGAACAGGACGCACCATTTCCAGCTCCGCTTCCAAATCCATAGCTAAAACGGGTTGCCTTGAAGGTGGCTGTTGCTGAGCGCCAGGAGAGTCCTGCAGCGCAATCCTCTTGGAGCAGAACAAGGACGGCTTCGCAGCCAAAGTGGGAACTCCTTGACATGCATACTGTAAGATGAAGTTTTCTTTCTATTTCACTATAAACTAATCCTTCAGCCGAGAGGAATGAGACCAGAGGAATCTGGGACTCCCTTTAAACCGAGTGAAGGCCAAGGATGTGACCAAGAGAAAGCTCATCCGGAAGGAAGCTCGCACTGCTGGGCTTCATCATCCCCAGACAGTCGGGTCCACGAGTCTTTGTAGCACTAAAGCAAACGCTGCCGTAATCTTGTGCCGGGCTGGGTAACAGTACAAAATACTGTGTTGTCAGGGTCTGGATCGGTGCTATTTTCAGCTACTTAATGGCACTGGGTAGCTATCAGGACAAATATCAGAAATTCATGGTAATTCACAGAATCACAGAATCGTTTAGGTTGGAAGGGACCTCTGGAGATCATCTAGTCCAACCTCCCTGCTCAAGCAGGCTCCTCTAGAGCATATTGCCCAGGATCACATCCAGACGGGTTTTGAATATCTCCAGGGAAGGAGACTCCACTACCCCTCTGGGCAACCTGCTCCAATGCTCTGTCACCCTCACAGTGAAGAAAATTCATGCTATAAGAGAGCAGAAAAAGAGACTGAACAACAAATACTTTTAGTAAGGATTGTCCAAATTTGCCAGTGATTTTGCAGCTCAGATTTCAGAACCTGAGCAGCTGCTTTTGAAGGGTAGTTGTCTGTGGCTGGTTTCTTGCGCATATCAAATGCGACAGCACTGAAACCAACAGACTGGAGCGTGGCCCCTGTTCAGGAAAGCACTTCCCATTCTGGACAAAAGATAAACACATCAACTATTTTCATGTCTTTAAGCACTTTATCAAGTCCTAAGTTCAGTGCTTAAGAAAGCAGATTTGGGCCACTTATGTTCTATAATTACAGTGGAACATATTCATCATTTCATTACAGGCAGAATTTCATTTGATCTTATCTCAGTATTACAGTTTTTACTCCCTAGTAAAAATTGTAATGAAAGTGGCTCTAAAAAAATACAAGTTATTTCAAGCAGAAAAGAATTATGAAAGCAATTTAAGATAAAAGAGGATAGAGAATGTCTTCCTAAAAGTAGAATAAAATCAATTGTGGGGGAAGAAAGCAAGGTGCAGCAGTCATATGGGTTAAAAAAAAAAAATCATAGGTGCTTAAATATAATTACCCCAGGACTATAATAAAAGGGCATCGCCCAGTTTTCAGATGGCTTCGTGGAAGGATAAGATTTTCAGTGTCCATGCTGCAATTTGCCCAAGCCAAACCTTCAGACCTGGCTCACTGGGTATCAAAGTCTTAAGAAAGAAAACGCACATAAGCATGTAACCTTCAGAGATACAACCTGCAATAACTCATGGCTCAGTCCTAATCTGAGATACACAGAAGCTTGAACAAATGCTACACATGCTTATGTTCATGTATGCAGCGTACCTGCAGATCTCACTTTAGAAACCTGTCTCAAACATTTAGCCTCAGCTGAAAGAGCCATAAGTCTTCTCTTTATAAGCTGATATACCTGCAGGTAACTACCAGCTCTGGAATAAATAAATTCATGTATTTCCTTCTCTCTTCAACGAAAGCCACTGAACTTATTATTGCTTGGACGCCTTGGAGAATCAGTTCTTCATAGCCTAGTCAACTGAGCAAGGGCGCAGAAAACTCTACACAAGCACCTGAAATCTCACACCTGACGCTTCAGCATCTGCAGTCACACCAACCATCAGTGGCAGGGGAGTTACGATAGAGAGGTTAGCTTAGCACAAGAACGAGCCACAGGCACACCACTGTGACGAAGCAACAGCCAGACAGCACCCCTCTACAAGGGGTTGTCCCCATTAAGGACATAACATTACTGGCTTTGAGATCAAACGCAAGGAAATGTAGGTAATCCACTTTTTGTCCTCATAGTTAGACACAAACCGAGCTGGCCTATGTTATGAACCCAAGGATTTATTATCTGAGAATACAGCACTGGCAGCTATTATGTATAAGAAGTCTATTAAACTGATTATACTGTAGAACCAGCAGTCACATGTCAGCTTGATGTGTTTTCCTAGAATACGATCCGTGCAGGGGTTTGGGGCCAATGGTTAGTATCAGCTGGCTGGGAATTAGTTATGAGAAAGTGCCATGTATCTGGGGAATAGGCAGCGGATGTGCTGGAGGCTAGCTCCTGAGAAATGCTTGCCGTGCAATCTTATGTGATCATGCCACACGGAATTGGCGTGCGTGCATTCCCTTTGACACATCTTTATGAGCACAAAGCTAAAGAACAAAATAAAGGTTATTATAAAGTAATTTTTCTTTTCTGGGCACGTTGAAAACCCGTGTCCTTTTCTATCCATGGTATCAACTGAAGTTCTTCAAAAGGAGTTCTCTCTGACAAAAATGGAGAACTCTCATAAAAAAAGAACTCCAGTACAGTAGTAGTGGTAGCAATGATAGTAGTAGTAATTGTATTTTGGCTCTGATAACTGATAAGAAGCTGGAGTCTAAACGTAATCTAGGAACCCAAGTACTTTGTTAAATTTGGGCATCAGCAGAAAGGAGTTCATTAGGCTATTCACTAGGACACAGCCTTCTGCTCAACCAGAAATAATCTCTTATTTTGCCTTTAGCGTAGAAGGCAGCTCAGACAAATCCAACCCTATCACAGAGGGCCTCAGAGGGAGAAGGAATACCCAGAGTGCTCTCTCCCTTCCTCTAAGCACAATAACAGTTTGGATAAGGAGTTGTCAGTGCCCCTGTGACGCTACAATGAGGATAAACGTTTGGTACACATGGTCCTGAGACACGCATACACTATACTGCCATATCAAACAAGGCATACTGAATACTTACTCAGTTTCTCTAGGATCTCCTCATCTGTCATCTTGGATTTTTTTCGCTGCCGGTCCGTATTTCTGTATAAAGTGTTTGTGTTCGAGTTTTCAGGTTGGGGAGTGGTGGCTTCTTTAGCTGGTGCTGGTGCAGCGACAGGTTCAATTACAGAGCGTGTGTAGATCTGAGACAAGAAATTATTTGGTGTCAGAAAGGAGGCCTGCAGAGATGCCCCTGAGATTGTATTTCAAACACAAATCTTGAAGACGACGCTGTTGGCCTAAAAATCACACTGTAAAAAATTAAGTCCATATCATGTTTCTTGGTCATGCAGCGTTCTTAACATATTTGTTTTCACTGTGCACTGCTCAAATTGAATGAGCAAAAATGAAGGCCAGTTTTACACGTGTTCGTGGCCAGTTTATTTTCAATTTTCATTTTCGTTGATTTTCTGAAAGGTGACTGAGATAATGAATTTACTGTGTTTCAGGGATTCAGGAGCAAATCTGCTCAGGGCCTGGCAGCCTTGACCCCTGTGCTCATGTGTTTTCACATGTAATAAAAGGACTCATTAATTGGAACTTTGTCAAAAATTCTATGGATGGCACCAGCAGCCACTCACCCTCCCGAAGCTCCGAGATTTTGCAGACCAAACAAAAATAATGAGCAGTAAAACTCATTTTATAAGTTAAGATACACAGCTGAATAGAAGCAGAGAGAAAATCTCTTTTCTGATCATAACGGCTGAACCGACTTTTCATCAGTATTCCAGACTTTAGGGAGCAGCAGTTAGGAACTTCATTCCAGGCTTTCAGATGTGCACAGCTGCCTTGGATTCTTCTGACCAAATTAAGTCTATACTTCAGTTTATAAAACTTAGGAGTATAGTCTAAGCTGTATATTTAGCTCCTTTTATAGTCAGCGGAGAGAGATGGGTACCGCCAGAGGACAGTTTCTCCTATATACGACATGAACTGCCTCTGATGGCCTCTCTCTCCACGGATGACTGAGGGAGCCTGCACAGATACTTTACACAAAGTTGTTCACTTTTACACCAGTAGTATTAGTATTAAGATACAGAATGCTACCTCTTATCTGGTACGAAAATAAAATTCATAGTTCCTATTAACATCGTGGGAAACTCAGAATTAAATGTGAAAGTTCAAATTTTCCTGGCGTCAGTGGCTTGGGTGAAGCAACAACCTCACGGTCTTCATCCAAAAACGGCATGTTTTGTCTGATCACAAACACTCAGCTCTGAGTTATACAACAAACAGCACTAACCAAAGCTAGGACTCACTGATTTTGTATGCTCTGGCCGTGGTGCAATAACAGGTGGGGGTTCATTGTCATCTTCTTCTTCCTCATCCTCTTCATCCTCTTCTTCAGAAACAGGGGGAGCTAACGGGGGCTCTGATGCCGTCTTTGTGCTCTGCGGATAGATGGTAGCATGAGTGACAATTCTTGCGTTGGGCACCTGGGAGGTTTGACAATTACATGCAACTTCAATCTGCTTGGACAGGACACACCAGTCTACACTTCCCCGTAGTCCTAGAGGCCCCAGTTGTAGGTTACACATGGCAAAATACAGTTTTACAGTTACAAATTACCATGCTGTTTTGTTAATCCATCTCAGTGTTTTTCATTTTTGCTTTTTGTTTATTTACAGCAAACTACTACACGTGGCCTACTGAACTCTGTCCTGTACACATTACTGGAGCAATAAATTAAATAAAACAACTAAATCATTTCTTCCCATACTTCGTTAAAGACTATTTTCACAAAGAGTAAAACCTGAATATATCATTAGAAATCACCTCCGGTTTCTGGTTAATTGCTTGGGCATTGTGCTTGCAGGAATGGTAACAGTTAATTATGCTAACAGGTGTCTACCGGCTACATTAATTAACGTACTTCAAAGCACAAAGCCTCCTTCATTGTCTTACTGGGAATTTGGTTTTGGAGAGAAAGGCTATTGGTTTCTATACTATTTTACCCTCGGGGTAATCACAGTGCATGTTTTCACCGCGTTGAATTTCCCTGCTTAGGAGCTTCTTTTTCACCACTGTCCTCATCTTTACCTAATCATAAGCTGACACAATGATATTTTTGCTATTTGTCTGTTTTTTATCCCAACAGTAACACCAAGCGCATGTCACTGACGCGGCAGGGAAGGCACGCGTCCCCCCGGACTGTACGCGGCCGCGCTGTCGACCTCCCAGCTACTCATCCGGGCGCCTGTTATCGTCCATCAGCAGAGGGAAAAAGCCACTGCCAGGCTGCAGTCCACCTTCAGGCAGACTGCAAATACGGGGCATGCGAGGGGAGGCTGGCCCATCCGTTTAGACATGGATATCTGTACATAAACAAAAGTCTACAGTGCAGATTTGTAAAGTCAGGTGAGTCGGAGGCCACCCGGCAGCTGCTGCTGCGGCAGGAGGGTTATCACATCGTCACGAACGTGCTGGTGAAACGGGAAACCGAAAAGGTGTCCTGCTAAGCCTCTACCCGCTGCTTTAAAGGTGGCCTACACCGAGGCACTTTGAGAATTTAAACAAATCAAAGATGCTGTTCTACGTATTTGCACCTCTTTGGGACTATCTTTAAAACGGCATCGTTTAGGCCAGTGTTAAGTACCAGCGAGGGAAGGTCCACTGGAGGTGGCGGGGAGAACGGGCCTAACCTTCACCCCTCTGCTTTACTGAACATATCGCTGCTCTTCAGCTTTAACTCACCTGTACTTCAACACGCTGGCATATACATTCACTTATACTGTATTTTCCGGAAGAATCATTTCTATCGCTCAACTTTTAAAGATAACGGGTGAAACAGGCTACTAGTACGGCCGAAGGAGAGAAGGACAGGCGAGATATTCTAAACACTAGGTTTATGCGGCAACTCTGACAAGCAAGGGGTGTCCTCACGGGAAGGTATATGTGACTCCGTAGCACATTGCATCGGTGCATCGTTTTCTATTCAGCCTTAGCACTTTGCCTACATTGAAGATGTACAATGAAACTTTGAAAAATAAAGAAGGGCAATAGCCACGCTTCTGTTATGTCAAATTCTTACAACTATTTTTTCCACTGGGCTCCACGCTTGGTCTGATAGCGTTAAATTGGGCAGCTAGAATATATACCATTAAGGAGTGAAATGAAATTAAAATTGTTCCAGTGCTTTCTAAGTCCGGTCAGAGAGCTGTTTTCTCGATATTGTAACGTTTAACCAGCATCCTGCGCGTAGGTAACTTTTGGAAGCTGACATCCCGACTGTCTCACTGCTGGCTGCGTCCACTAGAACAAAACATCACAGCGGCAGCCAGTGTCTCCATCCCCACTGGAAGAGGCTATTTGGAAGCCTTACGATGCTCCTGTGAAATTCAAACTTCCTTTTAAAAGTGTGTTTTATTACAGATAATGGAAGTGCCATCAATTTAAAACTGCAAGTGTGAATACTCCGTGGTGATTTTCATTTCGTTATATATGCTCTCTGCTGTGTAATCACAAACCCTAAAATTAAGTTGCTTAACATTTGCAAATAAAGGCCAAATCCCCATTCAATCATTTGCTATTTAATGCACTAACATTAACACTGATAAATTTGGTCAATATTAATGTGGATGTCATGAGCACATCTTTTGAGATTTCTATGGCAATTCCGTATTAATTAGAGTGGATCACTATTTAAAACTTTCTTTCAGTGGCTCCAGTGAGTTACATATCAATTATAACCTTATTTAGATTCAGCTACATATCCAGCTGTACTAAGGAAAAAGCATAAAATTTAATAGAAATGGATTTTAAGTTGTTAAAACTATATTAAAATGAGCTAATTAGACAGTACCGCTTATTGTTGCAAATTATATATTCCATCATGGCTAAGAACAGTGAGCTATCCTCTGTCTGCAGACCAGACTTTCATCTGTTTTTAAAAGTTCTTATACAGAAAATTAGAAAACAGCCAGTGATTCCTTTCCTGCTGCTGTGAAGACACTAAAACGTACTTCCTTTCAGCCTAAGAGGTTGGCGTTCTTTCACGAAATTCAAAGCTGACAGTTTACAGCACGATCCTTAAACACTAGGAAAGTAAAAGGTAACTTCCACACTCACCGAAGGATGGGCTGCTATGTATCCATGGGCGCTCTTATCTGCAACACGCAAGGGAAAATGAACCAGATGCTTGTTAGAACAGTGCCTGTTGTGGGGAATCCCACAGAACAAGTGAATCCAAATCGACAATTGTTTTTCTTTCACAACGTCCCTTCAGCAGAAACAGTTATTTTACACAGGGAGCAAGATGACAGGATGATATACTAGGTTACTCTTTTTCTATAGCTTCTCGCATCTGTCGTCTGCCCGGTTTTGCCAGTAAATAAAACGCAAGGCAAAACGGTTACGAAAATGCAAGTTGTTCTTTAACATCCAACGCTTCTGTTCCGCCCAAGAGCTAAGGTAGCTTTAATGTTTCCTCATAAATTGCCTGCACTGATTCTCCCTCATTTGCTGAAAAAGTCTCTCCATAAAAGCTTCCCCAGAATTCCCCTCAGCTGTGACAGTTCTGCTCTGACAGAGCACAGTAACAACTCCATTAAGATGCTATACCCTTTTCCTTCTTTTGCTGGGCAGGAAT